CCTTAAAAAATAAAATAATAATAAATCTTATACTGAAGTATGCCAAAAGGTCCATTTAAATAGAATATCCTTTAAACCTGCTTTGCACATCACTGCGGGCTCACTAACTTGCAATTACACTGATTAGCCAAGACACATGCAAGGCTCAAAGAGACCTTCTGGAGTGTCTTGAGCAACCTGCCAACAATTTATGCACATACTAATAAGCAGTATGCAATCAAAAGGAGGTTTAAACTGCAGCGGTTACCTCAAACCAGATAGATATAAGGAGGACAACATATAATTGCTTTCAGTAACGCTGACAGACTATCAATAAGGTTATAAAAACCTCATCACAAACATCAGCCATCTACTAAAAATGGAACAGAAATGTAAAACAACTACATGATAACATTGCATAACATGGGGTGACAACAGAGGACCAACCCAGCCAAAACACAAACTGCCCACAGCTGAAACTAAAGACAACATTAATGAACATTGGAATCCAAAATCTGGGAAGTAAATTAAAATTGTTTTCCTGTCCAACAGGAGCATGGGCCAAATACACTTGGACAACTAGTGCTTCTTTGGAAGGAACTTTATGTACATAATGGCTTACAAATTTTTTCAGGAATGGAATATATGCTTTTTGATTCAGTGACTAAAAACGTGAATGAAATATATATGGTCTGTGTTTATCTATGTACCTATAGTATGTATGTATAGTGTTAGATAGTTTATGCTTTCTAAAAACTTTTTTTGTAAATGTGATAATTTTCATAATTTACCTATTTTCACTAGACAATAGTTAAATCTTTGACACCTTAATGTCAACCAAAATAAGCAGCAGGCTGGCTGCCAGCACAGGAAAAAAAAATTTCTCCTGTCATTATTTATAGCTATATTTCTTTACCATCATGTGCTTTCTAGAAGTGGATCATCCACTTCTACCTTTCAATCAAATACAGTATATAAAGTTTGAAAACAGGTGATACAGTCATATAAGAGGCCTCTTTAAATGTAGTTGTTTCTAATTTAGCTAGCTTATTGTCCATAGGCAGAAACCATGTTACTAGTTGTGATGGATGTTGTTTGTCAAAAGGAGAAGAATGCCAGTTTAAATCATTTTGTCTGAGACAGGCACCCAGTTATCAGATGGAGCTGATGGAACAAGCAGCGAGCATAGGTTGAATCTCACAGTAGTTGCTTGACCTTTCCTCTCCACAAGGCATTAATGGGTTTCCTGTGTTATCCTTGCTAACAATTCACATTTTTTCATGTCATTTTTTTTCCTGATAGTAAAACAAACAGAAAGAAAGCTAAAATTGAATTTTGTGGACGTGTTCATTATTAACTAACTCAGCAAAGACAAGGGAGTCACAAATCAGCTACTTGTTGTCATTATTAACAAGTGAAAACATTTTTTTCTACCATCTGCAGGATCTGTGCTAATTTTGTACTGTGTTCTTGCCTATTTATATTTATTAGGAAAGTGCTAACATTTAATTATTTTAAAATAGAAGGCTTTTATTTTCTCCCATTAACAGAAGCTACTGTGGAAACCAGTAGCACAGCACTGAGGTGAAAAGATGGCTAAATTAAGTATGATGCATCCAGCTTACATCGACTTCTTTTCATTTACATGAAACAAGACATTGTAATTCAGATCCTCCTTGACTCTCTGGAAACTACAAGAGGCTGTAGGCCATGCTGAAATCTCTATTTCTATCAGAGTATTTAACTTCTGCACAAATGTATATATTCACTGGTATACCTCAGTTTATCCAGCTTCTTCTCATAAAAACTGACTGTGAAAGTGTTTCTGGAGGAGTAATATTTTAACAGTTCAGGAAGTATTTCCTGGGGAAAACCACCATTTAATTTCATAACAGTCAGGCAGTAAACTTCTCTCATGGCTTCTACGTGGGAGCCTGTGCCCAAATTGTTTGCTCTGTGGAGAAAAGCCTTGAAGCTGTTACCACTTTGCAGTAAGGTTCAGTTTGCCCAGTCCAAGAATTTGAGCATGGTAAGGTTTTCCAGTATTAGCCTGAGTCCTCTGCTACCAAGAAGGAGAAAGATGAGATAGAGGAAAAAGTGAAAAACTCAGTTTTGGAGAGATTATGGCTGAAAAGGAATCTCTGGAAAAAAGGAAAAGGCACAAACAGCGCCAAAGGCAATCCTGACAAGCAAGGAGCTGCTGGGATAGAAAGCCAGTCTGCAGGTTTAAATACCCTTACAAAAACCAGCCTTGAGATAGCTGGAGATTGAAATTATAATCTCCTTAAAGAGAAGAAAGAAGAAGGAGGAAGATGTGCATGTTTGAGGAACTAACATCATAACTTTTGCTCTGGGGCAGACGATGCATGCTTTGCTACTGTTGAGACAAATTGAGCTACTAAAAACCTCTCCTGTTCATATTTCTTCCCTTGCAGCTAAGTGCCTACTCAGAGTGATTTGCACCTTCGTCTTGCCAGATTTCTGGACAGGTCATTTAGACTTGATAAGCTCAGTTCCCCATCCGTACAACCGAGATAATGACACTTCCCCACCTAAGAGAAGCGCTCTGAGGACAAATGCTGGAGGAGTATTTAGGGGCGGCAATGACAGAACCCATACGAGTTCCTAAGGCAGGAACTTTGGCCCTCGGTAAAAGTAACAAACAAGAATAGCTTTTAGGTAGACATTAGGCACAATGAACGTGAGATGAAAGGGCTCAAGGTATTATGTTTACTCCTAAAACACACATTTGCTATAGTTTTCTCTGTACTTCCTTCAGGCTATGGTGGCACTACTGAAATAATTATCTTTCTGCCACTTCAACTCAGGAAGGCTGGTGGGAAGCAGGAGAAACTTCATTCATTTTCCCTTGTGCCCAACACCAAGCCAAATTTTTTCACTACTGAGGTAGCTGCAGGAGCTATCTTTCCTTCCCCAGAAAGGAGAGAGGGAGAGAATTTAACTGGGGCAGCCGTCACACTACAACACTTTACAAAAAAGCAAATGAGAACCAATTCAGATACGCACTTCCAGCCTGTTCCTAAGAGATGCAAGATGGGAGGTGCAGCAACAAGCCTTGCTCTGGAAAGGAGTTTTGCAGAACACTAACACTACCAGGTTTACATTCTCAAAGCAAGGATGCAAAGCACTGCAAGTAAGGATTTGCATTCTGAAAGGCACAAAACTCAGCCAGGGCAAGCAGTGACTTTCTGGACTTTTCTGGCTATTAAAACCAAAAGACAACACAAAACCAGTCCCAGGAATAAAATCTTAAAACACCACCGACTTTGATTCCATTCCTCAGGGTCACTATCCTGCCCTGCTCCCCTTTCACAGATGTCCAGCACTCCTGATGCTCACCATCCTTGAGAGCTGCATCTGTCCATACAAGGATGGATACTACATACTTGGTAGTAACAGTTTGAGGGCATGCTAGCACACACATCCTTTCTTTCTGTGGGAATTGAGGACAATTTAACAACATACTGTGCAATGGAAGGAATGTAAACCGTAGCCCAGTATCTTGTCTTTAAATGACCTAACGATGGCACGTGTTCCATCTGCAGACAGCATGGGAAGTGCCGCTGTGACTGCTGAGGTGCACTGCTGATGTTCATTAGCAGTTTGCCACTTACTACTCAGAATAAATAGGCAGAATGTTCCCTGGAGCCAGGACACAGACAACATAACCAAGAGACAAACAAGTATGCTGAATCCAAAGTGGTGGTTACACTTTATTAGATCTGTCAGTAATTCTGTTACGCTGCAGGAGGCACCATCCGAGCTCGTGTAACCCAGTATTTCTGCCCCACTAATCCTGCCTAACAAGTACCAGGTGACAGGGGCAGTAACTAAGAAACAAAATTAAATATAAAAATCTAAATTTAATAAACACCATGCAGATTATTCAGACACCTTCAAGGAAGGAACCTGGAGTCAACTGAAGGACGATAATCTTATCAATTGTATCCTAAATGAGCCCTGACCCACAAGGGTAAGTGATTTCTGCAGAAGCACAGATGACAGTGTGTACTCTGATGGTTCTATGACAGAAATGAGACCTTTTCTTTCATATTTCAGTAGGAAAATCATAACGAAAATACAGGTATTGTAAAATAAGATAATGAAAAAATCTTAAGATTTTTTATTTGTAGCGTTAAATTAATCACCACGTTGATGTTAGCAATCAAGTGGAATGAAATCACAAAGTGAAAAAACAAAAAAACAATGTAGCTTCTGTTTTGCATTTTTAATAGGATAGCTTAGGGGCAAAAGGAAAAAAATCTCTAAACATTTTAGACTGCAGCTGTTTGACAGCATTTTTGTATTTCTAAAAAAAAAAAGCAACCCCAGAACAAATAAACCCATCTTGATTTTCATAAGGGAAAAAGTCTAAGCAATCTTAAAAGTATCACTTTCTACTGTATCAAGAAAAGAAATAGGCTCTACCACTACCTGCATGCCCTTTGTCTAACATACATCGCATAGCATGCTACCAAATTTCAGAAAAAAGGCTTTAGAAGATTTCATTGTCCATCTCTACAACAATTTTTCCATTTTCCCATCAGAACCACAAGAAAGGTAAAAAAAACCCCATGCAAATCCTCCTTCTCATTATATAGGATATAAAAGAAATATACAGAATAACAGCTTCTAAGAAAATTCAGTAAAATCCAACTCTGGCATGTGCAGCCCTACACCAGACAGGAGGGAGAGCAGAGGATTCGCACCACAATGTATCTATGCACAGAACGCATCTGCCATAAGAGCATTCATGGTTAACCAAGAACAAAGCGACCAGCAACCGTAAGTATAAACCATGCCTGCATCCATAGACTGGCTGCGTAATATTGAATAACACTGTTCATACATTACATATATCCAAAGGGCCTGCAAGCGTTTTGTTATGACAAAGATGATAATAAAATAAAGAGTTACTGATGGAGCAAGGGGCATGCAGCACAGAACTGTGCTTGCAGAGCCTATAGAAGTTTGAACAAAAAATATTGAAAGATTCAAACCTGTGACGAGTTCTCTGATTTCCAAATCTGTAGTCTTGCGGAGTAACCGTACTAACGCTGGGATACCACCACAGTTTTTCAGAGCAATTTTGTTGTCATCGTTTGCTTTCCCATATACCAAGTTTCTCAAAGCTCCACAGGCACTACGGTGGACTTCTGTCATCCGATGGTCCAATAGGTCCACCAGTAACTGTATTCCGCCTTGTCTTCTTATCTGAAACAGGGCAAAATGATAATCAAAAAATTAGGGAATGAACACTTGTATTATCTATGCTACCAAATGCAATTAAGCTATGGTTTATGCAGGCTGTACTCCAGCAAACATATGCTGGTAGCCTTGCAAAGCTGCTACGTTACACTGCTTTGATTCCTTGTCCCTTTTTTTCCAGTAGCAACGTAACTGTACAATCACAAATCTGAACCTCTGTAAAAGCAGCCAAAAGTTAGTCAAGAGTGTTGCCTCAGCAGATTTCTCAAGGTTCACCAAGCTTTACCTTGGCAAGGATTTCTCCTGCGCTGGAGAAACATCATCTACTTTGGAGTGTAACACATCACAAGCTAGATGAAAAACCACGAGACTACAGAAAAAAAAAGGAGCACATAATACAATGCAGTTTTTAGGAGTCTCTCCTTTTACATTTAATTACTTGGAATGTGAGCAGCTACTGTAGTTTCTGTAAGAATGCTATATCAACAAAATTGGGAAAAGCAAAGATGAAAGGAGAAGGAGGAAGCCTACACAACATAAAGACAAGGGTGATGGATAAATCATGGAATGCTTGTTCTACTTCGATTGAGGGTGACCCTTAAGTGATGCAGGAACAGAATTCTTACTCATCTCTAAGGTGGCCTACAAAATAAACTTCTAATTGAATACCTTATATAAAATATAATTCCAGAAAAAGTAGAAAAATGTTTGAGGCAAATGATCAAGAAGGTCAAGAATACGATGACATATTTATTATCAAATCAGTTTGCCACAAATCCATCCTGTTGTTCTCTGGCACTATTAGCTCCTCAAACAATAATGAGCCTTGTATCTAATCTTAAAAAACTAGACTGATTCATAACTAACATCCAAGAAGTATAACGCTTTAGCTTCGAGCTACATAGTCATCTCTGTCAAAAAGTTTCACTGTGTGCTGGGGCTAAGGCTGAAAGCAAGCCATGCACTTCAGCTGGCCATTTTTCCACCTCTAGTTTCCCTAAAACATTAAAAGAGAGACAGCTATAGAGTGATTTCAAAACTGAAGGGAAAGGCAAGACATAATTTTAGAATGAAAGTTTATGACAAAAAGTTTGAAAATCTTTGTGAAGTTGTTCTTGCATGGGCATGCATTCTTGGCGATCTTTGCAGGGGGCAGGCTTACGATTAGAAAATGGTTAAACAACATGCACTAAAATCTATTAGAAATTCATGATCTATCTATTAACTTCAAAATTTTGAAGTACAATCAACCGATGTATGGCATTTCATGAATCTAACACAAGCTTCACTGCAAATAAAGACTGGGAAATGATTCAGCTTTTGAGGTTCCAACATCGAGCTATACGAAATTACACACTGATAGAACAGAAGTTGTCTCTTTCTTCAACTGGCTTATCTAGCATTTTTTTATTCCTATTTTTGTAGTTACAGCAAGGTCAGCCAGTAATAGAGCAGTTTTGTAGTTAAAAGTAAGATGCTATATACCGAGATGCTATAGTATTAAATTGTTATAATGCATACACAGTTATAACAGAGCTTTGGGATAAATGCCAAAATGACAGTGTTTAAAGATAAACTAAGATATTCTCCCTTAAATAGGCATTATAACAGTACATCATGTCCAGCTTTCTGAGCAACATACAGCAGCTGGCAGAGATCTGAATGGATATCAACTTCAGGTGCAGAAGTTCATTAATCTTTTTGAGAGCCCATGCTTCTAGTGCTTGGAGAAACCATGATATCTTTCAGTTTAGAAACCAGAAAGCCAGATCAAAGAGAAAAGATGTTGCGATATATCTCACTGGTCCAAACTTTACGCACATGAACAAGGTGACTTGCGATGAAATAATTTCCTCCTTTCCAAGCCAGAATAAAATTACAAAGTTTATCTGGGAGGGGCGGGAGGTAGGGTTGGTTGGTTGCCTGTTTTTACAATCCATCACCATTTGATCTTCAGGTTAAAATATGTTCACTTCCTCTGCTAACCAGATTCTCAAAACCAAGCATACTACATGAAGAGCCACCTACGTAACAAACTAGATGACATTTATTGAAGCAGACTAGGAACAAAAATTTGTGCATCAGTTCTACAAAAGGTGAACCAACTACCGAGGCTTCACACTTCAACCTCCAAAAAGAAACAAGATCTGATGGAAGAAAGAACATCTTTAAAAAAATACGGAGTTGTTCTGGTGTGATGAGTAATATCAGGAACGACAGAATGAAAACACGCCTGCTGATCTTTGTGGTGCATATTTTTAAAGCACAATATGCTGAATGAATATTTTAATTGCTTCACTGGCAAAAAAAAAAAAAAAGATTTTGAATGAGAAAAAAATATTAACTTTGTAGCAAAAATCACTCAGTGTACTACAGTTCATCTGCAGACTCAAAGGGCTCTGCCTTCCTTCAGAGACATGCTGTGCCTGTGCCGTTTTCCCCAGTGTCCCTCTTGGACACAGCCAAGTGGCATCTCAGGCTCCTTCGCAGTTTCTCTTGCGGACACTCTCAGGCAAGAGGTTTTGCTATCTTCTGCTCCTTTCTAAGGGAAAATGTGTGGTCCTGCCACATTCAGCCAGCATCCCTGAGCTGCACCTTCCCTTTTTGGCTGTGGTAGCTGACAGCACACTACTATTCGTCTCATGCAGCTCCTTCTCTCCCAGGAACCTCAAGTCAACAGCAGACTGAAGTGATTCAAAGACACTTTCTTAAAAGCAAGGGCATTAAATATTAATCTAAAATGCATTTCTGTCAGAAAAAAATACGGGTAATACAACAGAAATGAAACGGATGTTACATAACACTTTATCTAACTTGATGAAATTTCTTAAATTCTGCTGAAGAAAGAACCTATTCTTACCTGGGAAAGATACAACTTATTTTGCAAGCTTTCTTTGAATTTCCAGGCTCAGAAACTTGGCAAAGTAGCTGTGTCACGCAGGCAGAGATGAAGCTGATTATTCATGACTGGGAGCTCAGTTTCTGATGCTGTTCTTTATCTGGATTACTGCATTGCTTTGGTTTCGTTTCTCCAGCAGCCCATTATTCACCAGAGGTCTTACTCCATCTTCATGTTTCCAACACATATCTATACAGCTGTTTAATACTATATTCTCCAGCAGGTTTAACTACGCCTGACAAATAGTGAGACTGTGATGAATGTTATCATTATCTACATACGTTTATGGACACTGAGGCAAAGGAAATGAAATTATTTGTTCAAGTCCTTTATGGAGTTAAAGCCGCTGCCTGGAGGACAATCCTGACCCAGTGAGTCTCCTGGGGCAGATCTCAGCTGAGTTATCACAGCTCCAGTGAGTTCAGCAGTGCGACTGCCAAACGCCTGTGCCACGAATACTGGGATGGAGGGGTAAGCAGCGATTTGCACCAATGGGGCACTCCTCCAAATGACTTTCCATAGACACTTCTGTCTCTCTCTTGACATTATAGGATGAGAACATTTTTGAATATAATATTTATTGACACATCAGTGGCTGCTGCCTTGCTACATCTAGAAGAAGAAAATAGAATATGCAGGAGTCTGCTTGGCTGCTACAACCAAATAATTGGCATAGTACCAAGTTATTAGGAGGTACAGAAGTGCAGCTCTGTTGTCACACAGACCAATCCCAGAGTAGCCACCTCTGAAGGCAAAAGAATGACCTTCAACTCTGCAGCACAACTGAGTTCACCCAGTCATATCAGAGAGTTTATTCTTTCTGTCTTGAAGGTCTCTTTTTTACACTGCCTCTTCTCAAAATAATAAAAGAGGATCAGACTAAAAGCATTAAAAATGCTGGATGAATCTGTATTGGAGTGTTTCTCATGACTCTCTTAATCCATAGACATCATTAATACATTCTTTCCTTTTGTTCCTTCCCTTTTTCCCCCTCACTAGAAATATTTTGTGCGTGTCTTCAGAAGATGCGGTTAGAAAGTTGTTAAATAAAGAAAACAGGCTGCATTCTTTCACACATGACGTAATCAAATGTATGGCAAATCCTATCAGGACCAGGAATCCCAGTATGAATAAGCCTGAATTCATTCTGTTGAGCTTTCCTAATAAATTAGGAACCTATGCTGATCAAAGTAAAAACTGAAAGAACAGAGATTACATTAATTTTGCCATGAAAAAATTTCCATTGAATGCACAGGGCTGCTTTAATCTGATTTATTTTTCCAGGAAATTTTTAAAATTTCCTTTTAAAGTTGGCCCCCCACAAAGTGGTCAGAAGCTCTTGCTCTGGTTGAGTCCCATGATGCCACGACACAGAGAGACAGGACAGGACAAGGTGTCAGACTCTCTGGTCCACTGACCAATGAGAGTGCACTCAGGTCAGCTTGATCCCAGAGTCTTCTCCTCTGGCACCATAGGAACTTTGTTTTTGCATTGCAACTAAGAACATATTCACACTATTTACAACATGAATTTGGACTTGAGAAGGGGTTCAGATCAGTGCTGGAGGCAGTGAAGGTGTTAATTATGTTTCTAATAAGGAGAGCCTGGATGTCTCGTGCCAAGAGCCTTTGAAAAATGCAGTTTATCAGTTTCAAAGCTGACCTTCGATTCAATGGTGTTTACCATAGCAAATATTCCCTGACAGTGGACTGTTAAATACTTAATCTCCCAGGAGTTACACATGACCAGCCTGAAGCAAATGCACTGGTAAAACAAGTCAATAATACATTGATGATATGTCTGAAACAATATAGATATACTTGGTTACTGTATGATTTTAGCATATGCATTATTTGACAGCTTGCTTTTCTAATTTGATACAAGAGATTGGATGGTGTGTGGAAAGAAAAGCAACTTAAGATGTGAAGGGTATGTAGATACCTGGAACGTAAGGACCTCTGCTTTGTGAGGACACCTGGTCAGCGGCTGTCCAACATATAAACAGAGATGAGATGGGTAAAGTAATAAACCACATTTAAGTACACAAACCCTATAGAACAAGAGAATACCAAAGAACAGGTCTGAGAGGTCACTGGTTGATGGGCCA